AGAATTCTCAATCCAGAATAAAGAAAATAAAATAAAAAGAAGTGAATCTAAAATGCAGAAGTGGATGAAAAGATGTGGATTGCTTAAGACATGACTGAAGTTACGGGTTTTATATTTCCCGTTTTGATCAGAAAAAGTCGTAGAAGAATGAACTAGCACCTGCATCTAGCAAGCATCAAGGTTCAGATCAGAGTCTGCGTGAATAACCAATCAAGACTCAAGATCAAGTTTTAGAATACTTATAGATATGAATCTTGTAACTCGTAGTTGATAGGCTCGTTTAGTTTCTTTTGATTTTGATGTAATAATAGGACTACAGACCGGAGCCTCGACGGAACCTCACTTGACTCTCCAACTCAGCATTTCATCATTTTCTTTGAACTACACGCGGCCTGATTCCCTTATAACCCGGGATATATAGGTTGTACAAAACCAGGACCCGGTTGCACTCTTTTCTTTTCTCTATATTTCTTCCCATTTGAATAAAGATATGTTCAAAAATTAGTCACATGGCTCACCTTGTCTTTGCTTGAAAACTCTCCATATTTCCAAGCAAAGAGAGGCATGCTGTGAGCACCTAATTTTTAACCATATTTAAATTTTTGCCACCTTCTACTATATAAATATTTTTAGGGGTTTAATCTACAATTTTAAGCTTTGTTACACTTTTTTTATAGGGTGAAAATAATTTAAAAGGTCAATTACTACTATTAATATTATTTTTATATTTACTTTAAAATAAAAATAAAATAATTGTTTTTTAAATTTCGGGTGTACTATAAAAAAATAGAAAAGGGAAAGTAGGAAATTAAAAAATAAAAGTAAAAGAAAGAGAAAAAATAAAAAATAAAAGTAAAGGAATATGGGAAATAAAAAAAATGAAAAGTAAAACAAAGTAGAAAATAAAAAAATAAAAGTAAAGGTAGGTGGAAATTAAAAAAAATGTAAAAGAAAGTAAATTTTTTTTTAAAAAAGTAGAAGAAAGTGGAAATTAAAAAAAAAAGAAGTAAAAGAAAGTGTAAATTTAAAAAAAGAAAAGTAAATAAAGTGGAAAATAAAAAAAGTAAAGGAAGGTGGGGTATGTTTTTTTTTTAAAAAGAAGGAAAACGAAAAGTGAGAGTTTTTTATTAAAACAAACCAGTAAAAAATAAAAACAAAACTGAAAAATTTTAAAAATTCTTCTATAAATAGAAGGGAAAAATGGGAGGAGGGGAAAAAAAAGAGAGAGGAGAGAATTGAGAGAACTAGTTTTTCTTCTTTTACGCTAAGAGAATTTCTACTAGTGTCATTCTTTTTTCGTCTTTCTTTTGAAAAAATCCAGCAATTCATCACCCAAACCCCAACAAAAATATTTCAAAACATCATTTTTTTTACATGCCAAACAGTGGAGTCAATAGTCGAGATCGAGGATTCCGTTGGAGCTCCGTTCACTAGCTTTGATGTTCTTCTTCGCTTATGCTTGTTCGGCCTTCGTTTAAGTTATTGTACCTGTTCTTGGAGACTGATTTAATTGAAAATTTTGCATTAAAAGTTTATTCTTTCATTTGTTTTTTAATCTTATTTCATGTGATTTTATTTATTTGCCTTTAAACTTTATAAATAATACTGTAAATTAGTCCTTAAATGCTATTTGCTTAATCATGTTTCTAGAATTATGGTATTCAAACTTGCTTTAAAGTTGGAAAGATTTGGACCCTAATAAGTTTGGGCTTCAATTGTTGGGATGGAGGGTATTGGTGTGAGCACCTAATTTTTTACCGTGCTTGAATATTTTTCGCTCCCATCTTCCCACGCGTGTCCCCACTCTTTGTCCCCCACGCGTGTCCCTACTCTACTCTCCATTGTCCCACATGCTTTGTCCCCCATGCTTGTCCCCCACACACAACTCCCCACATATCTCCATTTTCTTTCTTCACGTGAAGGGGAAAAAAGATGACAAGATATACCATCTTCTTCCCTCTATTAATTCCAGCAAGAGAGACATCTGCAAAGGAGGAAAAAATAAAAAAAAAAAAAAAAAAAAAAAAAAAGGAGAAGGAGAAAAACCTAACGGCCTTCCCCGAATTCCGCTTCTCTCCAAAAACAAAAACCCTTGTACCCCAAAACCTGGTTGGACAACTTCGGACTGATTCTCTCTTTTCCAACAGAGAAAACATCTGAGCATCGCCTCCACCTCTCGTTGATTCTCACAAAAGGGTCTGACCCCTATCTCCCATCACACTCGCCTCTCACCCATCGACACTAACACACACACGGTAACATATAGTAGAGATTGCTGGGCTCCATTTTCAAGTTTTGTAAGCTCCATTTTGGGCGAATTTTGTTGGTTTCGATGCTGTCGAGGTAATTTCCCCCCGACGTTATGTTTCTAGTCCATTTTGATGTCATAAAGCTATAAGAATGTCATGTTGTGAACTTGAATCAAAGACTGTTGAATATATGTGGCTGAAATGTGATTTGTATAACACTCTGTTTTGAATTTAATAAGATTTAATTATTTTGTCCCATATGCTTCATATGTATATATCATATCTCTGTTTAAGCACGTTAAGAGTGAAAATATCATTAAGTTTAACTGTTATTGGTGTCCTTAACACTGAGAAAATGAAGGTTGGCCTCACTGCTCATTTCGATGAGCTTAATGCTTTGTCCTTTGTTTTTTTTTTGTTAACTACTGTGAGCATGCCTTTGTAATGTGATGATTGTGTTTGTTTTCTTTCCATTTTCGTTTTGGTTTGATGACATAAATTAGTGGAGCTCATATTTTGATAAAGAACTAAGACTTTGTGCACCCTCTCGATTCTTGAGATCAGTACTAACACTTTTGGGCTTTATTGCTTTTAATATTATAATAACTAATTATCATATGTTTTCTCCTGATGAGTTGGGGACATTAAGAAGCATTTTTTATTGGCTAAAGTAATATATTTTGTTACTTGTCTCCAGTAATATTGTTATTTTGGGGTATTCACTCAAAAGTGACTAACTTTATCAGGTTGGGTACTCCAAAAATTAGTTCTTGTTATTGAAGACGGTTTCCACAATAATATCTTGTCCATAATCCATGGCCTCACGCTCATCTCAAATTTTAGGAAATAAACATCTTATAAATATCATAGTTTTGCGTTAGGAGCGATTAATAATAAAATATCGTGGCTATGAGTACGGTTCCCGTGACATAGTCATGATATGTAAATTCCAGTTCAGGTGTGTATTTCATGCGACACGACCACAACTTCAAACAATAATAAAAATAAATATATTGTAGATCATGGGTACGGTTCTCGTGATGCGGTTCACAATATGTACAAAAATAAACGAGTGCGCGACATCGCGACTTGTTCAAACAAATTCCATAAATATTAAAAGCGGATAGATAAAATATGAAAATCAATAAATCACAGTTTATCCAGAATTAATTTAAGCCAAGTTGTAGTCAATAAAGCGACCGTGCTAGAACCACGGGAATCGGGGAATGCCTTACACCTTCTCTCCGGTCAACAGAATTCCTTATCCGGACTTTGTTTTTGCAGACCAATAATAAAAGAGTCAAACCTTCCATTGAATAGGGATTCAAATAAAAGGTGACTTGGAATACCCAAAAAATCAATTCCAAGTGGCGACTCTGTAAATAAAATAATCCCTATTCAAGTTTGTCACTTTAATTGGAGAAACTCTTTAACCCACTATCCACAATCCATAACACACATTTTATCATTTTGGGGGTAGAAAAGAGGTGTGACAATTGGTATATGATGGTTTATTTATTCAAATATCTAAAATCATACACTTCTTCCACAAGTAATTTAATAATTCATGACCTTACAATAATCTCAAAGTTTAGGAAGAATAATGAACACCGTTAGAGTGCTTTAGGCGCACTTTTAATTAGTTTATCGTGATTATGTATACGTTCGCGCGACATAATTGTGATTTCCAAAATTAAAACCGAAGTATATGTTCGCGTAACTTAGGTCAAAACAATCTTAATATAATAAAATAATATTAATTGTGTATACGTACGCGTGACATGATTTTGGCACAATAAATAAAGTGGATTTACACACATGTGATCCGTTTCAAAGATAAATCCATAACGCTATACTTAAAAGCGGTAAAAGGTCCAATACACGTAGGTTCTAAAATACGTAATTGAACAAATAATATAAGCCAAATATAGACAATAAAGCGACCGTGCTAGAACTACGGGACTCGGAGACTGCCTTACATCTTCTCCCCGGTCAACAGAATTTCTTACCTGGACTTTGTTTTTGCAGACCGATAAAAATAGAGTCAAACCTTCCTTTGACTAAGGATTCAAATAAAAGGTGACTTGGAACACCGAAAAATCAATTCCAAGTAGTGACTCTGTAAATAAAATAATCCCTTCTCAAATTTGTCACTTTAATTAGAAAAACTCTTTTAACCCGCAATAATTCACATACATATTTTTTTGAGATAAAAAGGGATGTGACACGTACTTTCTTTTCAAAAATCAAAAATCATATAAAAATAATACTTACAGTTATATAGATGTTCTCCTACTTGTATCTTGAACCCATTATGCTTTTTAGGATGACGAGAGATACTGGGAGAAACTTTTAAACTCATACATTTGTCCGTACAAATATAATATACTTTTATACTTAAATGATATAGTCTAGCGATCAATGAAGTTGAAAATGAAATCATAAGGGATTAACGTTCAAATTTTAGCAAAAAAAAAGTATTAAGTAATTTTTTTTTTATGTATAGATAAAATATTTGAAATTCGCGCAAGTTAAATAGACATTATGTACTAGAAGTACTTACTTTTAGTTCTTAGAAATAGTGTACTTTCTATAATTGCAACTATTTTCACGGACCTCCGAGTTGAGAAGAATTCTCCTTGAAAGACTTGGTCCATTATATTAAAACTTTTTTTCTCAAAGGTTCATCATACTGATGGTGGAGTTAGGTATGACTCTTACCTGTATATACCAAAAATAATAACTACACGGAGGAGGACATAAACCCTTGTCTCATAAATATAGTGTAGATTGGTATGCACCAATCTAGTATAGAGATGTTCAAAATAGAACAATCTGGGAATGGAACACTCTTCCTTATAGTTTGATACTAAATGTAAATAGGTACATATGACCTCACCTATTGATCTATTATGTAATAGCATCATTAATAGTGAAGTGATTTCTTCTTGGCCTGAATCTGAAATTTGGAATGCCCTCTTGTTCTAACTTCAAAGTAGCTCTAACCTTATTGGGAAGAGAAACAACTTCTGTGAAGATAGCTTGCGTGATGGTGTTCTCATCCATATTTGCTAGCTGATCAGCAATGACATTTTCTTCTCTGAAAATATGAACAAAGGTAAACTCTCCATTTTTTGCTATATCCCAAATTTGTTCAACCAAATGAAAGACTTGCCATGATGGTTTCATCTTCTTGTTGATCATATTGACAATCACTAATGAGTCCGATTCCACTATCACTTTTAAATGACCACTAGTACAACATAAATTTTATCCCTTGCAAGACTGCCTTAGCTTCAGCTATGTTATTACTACCCAGGCCATAGAAGTCAGCAAATACAATCACTAGATTACCAAGGTGTTCTATAAGGACACCACCCCCTCCTGCTGCCCTAGGATTCCCTTTACTACACCCATCGATATTCAACTTCATCCAACCTCTCTCAGGTTTCTCCCACTTTACTGACCTAGAAAGAATTATTTGTTGAGCCCTCTCAATACTCTTGCATTTATCAAACCATAGCTTAGGAAGTCGGAGACTAGGAGTACTAAGAATCATAGTACACTAGTTAGTCACCTGTTGAATAACATGCCAGCCAGACATATACTTATTTTCAAATTTAGCTGCACATCTATCCTTCCATAACTCTCAACATATCAATGAAGGTAAACATTGGAATTGCAGAGATTGAACCTCATATTTAGCCTTGCTTAACCACCATCTCATGACAATTTGTCTTAGTTACCCAAGTGTAACGCTAATACCACAAGCTTTGCCGAAATAAGTCCATACCTGTTTAGCAATTTGACTACAACTAAATAAGTGTGTGATGGTTTTTTCCTCATTGTTATTACATCAACTACACTTAGAAGGAAACATATAACCATACTTCTTTACTGCATCATCTGCTGGGATCCTTGATTGCAATAATCTCATCATAAAAAATGAGATCTTAAATGGAATGTTCTTATGCCAAATCTTTTTACTAGTAAGAGTCTCATCCTTCCTCTTCTTATTTGCATGCCACACAGATTTGCAAGTGAAACATCCATTATATTAACTTCAATGTGAAATATCGATTGCAATAAACAAGACCAAGAACAACCCAATATTCTCACAATATGGGATTCAGAGATAATAATGTATGTGCAACTTTACCCTTATCTCGTAGAGGTACAAAGTTGTTTTCGATAGAGCCGCGGGCTTAAGAAAAAAAGTAGGAAAGAAGTCGTGTTGAAAATTATAAAATAATATTTTTTGTCAAACATTAAAAGATTTTATTTAGCCAAGTAATATATGTACAATCACTAGTTCTTTTTGGACTATAAGAACTAGGCCTCCTATTTTCATATTCTACCTATTACATAGATAGAACTAAACTCTATAGCTATGTGCTGCGAAAAGCAAGGAAAATTATCTAAGCTATTCAATATCCTGCTCCATCTATTGTGTCACTGCCCTCTAATGTGCAGTTGGAGTACAATATCCCTGATAATATTTTTGGTGTTCTGTTTCTGTCCTTGAAATCTTCGAGCATTGCATTCCCTCCATATGTGATAGATTGTTGTAGCAAAGAGCAACCTAACACTTCTGCTCGCACTCTATTGTTGTGTACCCTTCTTGAGATCCATCTAACCTCCTTTGTCCACGTTCCCAATTGCAAATAATAAAATTGTTTGCAATCAATTTATTTAAAAAATTACAATAGGATCCCTTATTTTCAATTTCAATTTGACATTGAAATTTAAAGTTATAAAAGTTCAATTTAAAAATATTTTGACACTCATGAAATTTCAACTTCAAAGCAAACCACATATTTAAACACAATCCTTTTCTTATTTTTTTTAATAATAAAATTTTAACCAAATATTGTTGAAACTCCATACCACGAGACTATTGAGTTCCATATTTAATCCGCTTTTTTTAACACGCGCTACAACTTTGCACCTCTTTGAAAGTGTTATGAACTCAACAGAACGATACCTTGATTAAATTTTTAAATAAACTGATTATAATAGAACTAACAAAATAGTAACAGACCTCGTGTCTTGTTCTCGGGCCCATAGCTCTTCTCAGATATTAGGTTGGAGCTGATTCATAACAGACACATAAAACGTAAAGCAAAGCAATAGAACCTCAGAAAGCAGGGGATTGGAGGAGAGAAGGACGGTGACGTTTCATCAACAAACAAACGTTGCATTCTTCTGCCTTTCCCCTTCACCCTAAAGAAGTAGTTAAAACTGAAATTGACATTGGAAATTGGAAGGAAAATGGTGGACTTGGGCAGGGTACAAAAGGAGCAACAAGAATGTAATAAAGTTGTTCAGGTTTCTGGAACTGGAATAATAGTAAGTCCTAAAGGCGACAGTCTCACTCACTTGATTGGTACAATTCCTGGTCCTTCTGATACTCCTTATGAAGGCGGCACTTTCAAGATCGATATCACTCTTCCTGGTAAAAACGCCTATATTTTTTTACTTCCAATATTTGCATAACCAAAGAGATTAAAAAGATTTGAATTTTGAACTTGGGTTTTATGTGTTTTCAGTGGTTTAGTGTTGTGAATTTCGTTGACCAAGAATTTTTTAATTTAACATTTTTTATGCACGTTGTTTTAAGAATGTCAAAGATTCTGCCTATTTGACAAATGCGGAGGCCTGAAATATTTTATGTTAATATTAATTTTATGTGATGATTATTGTTACCTCATGATGATTTACTAGCTTCCTTGCGTTGTTGCTCAGGAAGGCAATATGCATTTTGAATTCTACTTAGGCATGGAGTTTTACTTTGTGTGGAATGTAGCATATTTAGCTTATGACAATGAATCATATTAACTACTCCTATGTTTTTGTAGATGGCTATCCATTTAAGCCTCCAAAAATGGAATTTGCAACAAAAGTGTGGTATGTAAAAGAAATGTGCTCTACTATCTGTCAATTATTTTATTTCCTTTATTTTGGGAATAGAAGTATAGCGTGTACAACGTTTTTGTGTCTTTACCTGTTCATTTGGGGTGTCATAGGAAGAATATACAAACTGCTGATTAACTGAATTGCGCCATTTTCAGTTACTCTTACTTCAAACTTTGGGTCCTCCACTAGAGAAAGGGTGGGGGTGGGGGGTTAGGGGGTAGCAATTGTATGTATCTTTCAGGTATTATTGGCTTTCCTCCTACTTCTCCAAACTGTTTTGCATGACTGATACATGATAGAAGGATTTCAGAACAATAATTTTTCATCTTCTACTAGAACGGAAGTTTGCGTCCTTTCCTTCACTATTCGAACTGAATAGTATGTAGGATAAGGCGGAATTCCTAATTGAAGTTCTAAAGCTTTAGTGCGTCAATGTGCACAAAGCATCACTGCAGTCTCCTAGCTTAAACTGCACTAAAATACACATCCTGTGAATTCTGGCATATATATTATATTTTCTTCAACAGAAGCCAAATTGCTGTCACTGAATTATCAGTTTTCCCATACCTTTTAGAACACGATCAATCTTAACCTGGATATGCTACATTGGCAACACGCTTGGTTTATAGGTTTTGCTTCTTTCCATAGGACTTAATTGTGCCACGTAAATATGTTTTAATGTCATTGGAGTTTGTCCCATTGTACTATCGTTTAATCCTTAGAACAAAAATGTATTTTAAGGCGCCGTCCAATCTTTAGCATCTACAGAGGTAATAAATGCCAGTATACCTTAATCTTCATCTCTTATTTTTTCTGCATATTCCCTGTTTTTGTTTCGTGCATCTGCAATTTAGAGTAATGCCAATGTCATCTAATCTGTCATGAAAGCTCTTCTAATTTTCTCGCTCTATCACAGACGTTGAATAACACCGAGCTCGTCGGGGACATTTGTGACTAAACTTAAGAAATTCTTTCTTTTCACACCAACCGATCGACCTACCATTTCTACGACAGAACTGATAGGCACCAATCGCGAATTTAATCTCTGGTCAGTTTCTCTCCAGCATCTAGATGCCAACCGATTAGATGAATAAAGCTTCCATGAACTCAGATCACATCACAAAAAATTACATGAAGCAGGAATCTCCAGTTTAGACAAATTGTAACTAATTTGATGGCTAATATTATTAATACCTCCGAAAGCAGTCAAACTTGGATCCTTAACTGCTATAACATTCAACCTGGAGTATATCCATCAAAGTGAGTCAGCCAGATTGGGGAACCCAACTTATCATTCTTATACCTTAATACTTACGAATCTACTTAACAGAAATTCAGCTTTCTTTGAAAGAAGAAGCTCTCAAGATAGGTGCTCCAAATTCATTATGATCTGATATCATGAGATTCCATGCACATCTGACTGGAAAACATTGATTAGGGTGAATGAGCTGGGTTTAAGAGATGGTGTTGTCACCAAGGACGGCAGTGCGGACATGATCTTCTTGAACAATAAATAGCGAGTCAAATCGTTGAAAAATGAAACTTTTTGGTACCCGCTAAAAGTTCAGGAAATTCAAACGTTTGACCCTCCACATAATCTTATGTGCATACCGTTGTACTTGAAAGAAAAGGTTGTCGGATGTTAAGAAGTGCATTATCTGCTGCTTCCCAGTTAAACTTTATGATTCAAATGATTTCTGTGTGTTTATTTCCCTTTGAAGGCATCCCAACATTATTAGTCAAAGTTGCGCGATATGCCTAGATATCCTGAAAGACCAGTGGAGCCCTGCACTCACTCTCAAGACAGCTCTCCTTTCTACAGGTGATTTGCTGGTCTTTGGTCTTATTGTCTCTCTCTCTCTCTCCACGTCTTTTTTCCCCAATGATCATTCTATTTCTCTTTATTGCAGTATCTTAGAGACTATCAGACCTTTTTTGGCACAGCTCGTTACTGGACTGAGACTTTTGCAAAAATATTTTCATACTTGGTGCTGAGGAGAAAGTGTGCAATTTGTTAAAGCTTTATTTTTCTTTTTACATTTTTATCCAGCTAGTAAATAGGACAACTTTTAACAAGTTTTGTTTGATCTTGCATATTTGCTGGTCACCTACTGTGATCAAATTGACTACTGAATGATTAGAATTCAAAGCACAGATTCAAAGACTTGTGGAAATGGGATTTGACGAAGGTCAAGTGAGGAGTACACTGGAAGCAACAGGTTGGGATGAAAACATGATACCTGAAAAGCTATGCTCTGGCTGGAACCTTCTCTACTGAAACTCAATTTTTTGAATATAGAAGACTTTATGCTGCCATGAGAAAGATGAAATACAAAAGGCATGACTTGATTGGCCAATTTTTTTTTCCTTTTCTATGATTCTTGGTTAACTCTTCATCTCTGCTTGTGACTTTTCTGATGTGATTTTATCAGTATCAAGCAAAATGCATCTGAACCTGCAGAAGTGGAATTGTTCATAGTAAATGTGCTTTTAAGAATTCAACATAACCTTTTCTTTTTGTGTATTTTAATTCTTTTAAGATAATTTTCAACAAACCAACCTTTTGATGATAATATTTTACTTCATATGAATCTTTAGGCCTGAAATCTCCTTGTTCCCCCACAGGGAGAGAAAATTTACATTATTTTAAGGATATAGCCACTACAGATTATTTTTTCCTGGGGATTTCTTGAACTTTGACGTATACAGAGGTGCAAACTGACTGGAGGACTATAGTCAGCCTATGGTGCGTATTGACGAATTAAAGTTATCTTGCACATTAGTGAATACTCTTTGTAGCAGTTCTCTCTTTTCTCTATTCCAATTTCAGTAGTAGGCAAGAACAGATGTATGTATGAGCAAACTAACTGAAGTACTATTTCCTGGATATGATGCTGAGTGGCATTTGTGCATAATATTGGATTGCCGAAATCTTTAAAATTCTAAGTTACAAGTTTGAAGGTTGGAAAAGTTTTTGTACCAAAGGGCTGTAACTCTGGAAATCAAATTTTACAGTTCTTTAAATCTGACAATATGAGGGATACAAATCTCTTGTATTTGGTTGCCCATGATCTACATATCTAGACAAGCTTCTAAATAATGCTATTACTTGTTGTGCAGCCAAGGGAAAAATAATGAGACTTCGAGATTGGAGAGCTAGCAAATGGCGTTGTAGTGTATTCATTTGCTTGGTGTAAACACCTGGTGCGGGTAAGTTGTTACCTTTATCATCTCAGTAAATCAGAATTATGGCAAGTGCCCTCATTCTTAGGAATATGGATCTTATGTCACCACACCACCGCATCTCAAAAATAATCTCGCAAAGATGGCATTGTTAAATAACACTATTGGAGATGAAGCTAGGCGAGCTCCTCGTCGCGCAAGCACAAAGATTGTGACCATGTATTGAACTTCAACTCTATTTCACTCAAATGTGTAATTCAGCTGACTGGAATTCCAGATAATATTGACAGCCATGACCAACATGCCTTCTCCATCAACATGGCCAAAGGGTATAGTTATATTTACTGTCTCATGTGTATTCTTAAAAACCACTTAGGATAAAAGAAAGCACTAACTTTGTTTATGCAACTTTGGGCTGACAAATACCAAATCTACCCATCATTTATTGAAACCATAAGGAAAGAGTATGTCAAGACCTAAAATGTGTTCCATCTGGCCGTTTCAAGGATAACACCCTAACTAAGGCCTAAAGTTCTTATAGTCTCAGGTATCTTTTTGTGGTGAGGGTAGGTCCATCTGAGGATTTCCAAATGAATTGTGGGTTCTATACAGGTGGGATGTCGTTTGATTTATGATCTACATATAGCTTGCAAATTTATACTATACTGTTTTATTCTTTTAATCATTTAAAATAAGGAAATTATATATTATGGAGAAAATTTTTACAAATTTCGGGCTGAAATTTTGTACAAATTTCAATCACAGTGTATGGTAATTTCCTCTTTCTTCTTATAAATATACACCTCAATTACGATGGGTCTTCTCATTCTTTTTATAAGTATACAAACCTCGATATATCATTATCACAATCCTAAGCATCTCAGAGAAAATCTTACAAAAGCAATGACTTTGTCTAATGATATTGGAGAAAAAGGTAGAGAAGTACTCGCTGCTCAGGCACACACATGGAACCATACATTCAACTACATCAACTTCATGTTACTCAAATGTGCAATTCAACTTGGAATTCCAGATATCATCCACCGTCATGGCCGAGCCATGACACTCTTCGAATTGGTGGATGCCCTCCCAATCAACAAGTCTAAAGGTCAGGATTGAATTTATCGTCTCATGCGTATTTTAACTCATGCAGGTTTCTTTATTCAGACCAAGATTAACGAAGAAGAAGGGATTATTTACTTACTCCGACTTCGTATCTCCTCCTCAAAGATGAGCCTATGAACATGATCCCTTTTATACAACAAATGCTTGATCCAACTTTCATGGATCCGTGGGATCGGCTGAGCAAATGGTTTCAGAATGACGATTCTACCCCATTCGCTACTACTCATGGGATATCGTTGTTTGAATGTCGGGAAGGAACCCGGGCTTAACCGTCTGATTAACGAAGCCATCGCTAGTGATGCCCGATTGATTATACGTGTGGTGATCAGAGGCGGACCTACGTTGCCGGTTGAGGGGTCACGGAACCCCTTTAGCATCGGCAAAAACCCTATATATATATATATATATATATATATACCCCTTAAATATTTGACTTTGCCCCCAAGCACAAAAAGGCTTACCGGAGAAGTGGTTGCTTTGGTCGCTTAAATTCCCTCAGCTGGAAGACGTAGCGAAACCCTCTTCAGCTTTTTCTCCTTTTTATTTTAGTTCTTTGAATACAATATAATTTATAGCATTCCCTCCGTTCCAGTTTATGTGAACATATTTCCTTTTTGGTCTGTTCCAAATAGAATGACCAATTTCTAAATTTGGAAATAATTTAACTTAAACTTCAAATTCTATCCTTAATGAGAAGCTTTTATATCCACACAAATACTCTGGACCCCTTTTTGACTTGTTTAGAATCACAAATTTCAAAAGTCTTTATTTTTTCTTAAACTCCATGCTCAATCAAACAGGTTCACATAAATTGGAACGAAGGGAGTACTTTAATAGCAAATTGCTTTACTTTTTACTTTTATCTTCTTCTTTTTTGAATTCAATTATCGTTTAGTACTAATACATAATAGTCTGCTTAATTAATTTTATTCTTTTTCAAATTCCTCCCTTAAAATTAAAAGACTCAATTTGCAACTTGTCGCTCCACAAATAAAAAAAATACAAATCCTTCTACAACAACCTTCTTCAACAATCACTTATGTTAGAACATGAGCAGCGGAAGCAAACATACAATCCAGGTATCACAAACATGTAAACTAGACAATGATATAATTACGGAGATTAGAAGCACTAACCTCTCAAAAACGTTGCACAGGTCCTCCACAGAGCAAGAATCCATGGCTATAGTCTTCTGCTATGCTCTTTGTAAGACCTAAATTATTTGTGTGAGCAAATAATACAACTCTGAATAGTGAGTTATTAGGTGAAACTAGTCTCCCTTATGTAGACCCGAAATTAAGCCAAAAAGGGGCTCAAAAGTGCTAGCAGAATCCTACTCTAACTCATAAAGATAACTTTTCTCCCAAGTCACCTTTTACCTAAGTCTGTCCAGGTTTTAACTAGGTATAGCAGGGACCACAGAAACAATAAAGAGGCTACCAATAAATATTATTAATTTGAAATTCGGATGAATTAAATCCACTATAATTAATCGCAGTTTATTCCATTAAAAAATTGCAATTGAACTCCTCAATATGAATTTCGAAATTCATTAATACTTATTTTAACTCCCCATGCTAAAATTACAAATACCAGTTAACTAAACTAAATCACTGATAATTTAATTTAATCAACTAATTAAATCCTTTACAATTCGGCTTAAACCATTTCATGTGACGGATACAAAATTCACCGGCCGAGTTTTCATATGAAAACATATAAGCTTACATAAAGGGGTATCATTAAACTCCAAACCAAGTCACAGATTCTCTCAACTAATCATTATTTCACAAAACTAATCATTATTTCACAAATGCTATTCGTTATTGTCCAATCTATTAGGCATGCACTAACTCTGAATAGAGTTGTACTTTTTGATAAATCAAAACAATAAATAAATCACATTGATCATAATAACTATATCAAGATTAGGAGTATAAGCTCATTTAATGAATCAGAGAAAATATTTTATATATATTCAGTACAAAAATATCTTTTCTCTACTTGGTCCGTTCAATAAACACTAAGTATACTAGCACAAGAAGTTGGAGTAAAATCACTCCCATAATCAAGATAAATTATACTTTAATCTTGTGCTACAATCATCAAGATATTTTGCCCAATAATATCTTCGATTGTGATCATAGTTTATTAATTATGAGAAGCGACAATTTAATCTTCTGTGCATGAGCTAAGACTACATACACTGAATTGTCTACTACATAACTAAAGGATATACATGTAACAACTGATCTATTTAAAATAATACTTTATATTGAATAAATCAAATAAACAATTGTTCCATAAAGAGTAAAACACAATACTATAACTAAATAGCATGGTTAATAGTATATCTAAACAACTTTGACTTTGACTCGACAATGACAACTAAAAGTTTTAGACTCTTCTTCAGTTCTTTGACTATTACCATACCCTTAATCTTGATTTCTTTAGTAAGTTTTTGATAATTTAAAGTTTGAATGCCCTTTTGATCACTGACCCCTTTTTTAATTATTAAAAGATTAAAAATTTCAAAGTGTGAAACATGGTTAATCAAACACCTTCCCTTCACATAGCACCCATTTTGCGAAGAAATCTGTCTCTCTGTTTGGTATTTTCTTTTTCTTTAGAACTTCTTTTTGTTTATACTTAGATGATAAGTCATCATAATCATTAAGTTTTCAAAGAGTCGCACGCCGAATTTTATCTCTAGTGATTGGCATATACTGGTGCCCCCGTCGTGCTCAAATCCTGGGTCCGCCTCTGGTGGTGATTAAACATTGTAAGGGAATTGTTGAAGGATTGAAATCATTGGTGGACGTTGGAGGCGGCACTGGAACCGTAGCTAAAGCTATTGCCAATGCAGCCCCGGTGTACGAAGCATCTCGCGTTTGTGCAGGGTACGGGGAAGGGCCGCACCCAAGGGGGTGTGATGTAGCTATTGCCAATGCATTTTCAGATATAAGATGCACTGTCTTCGAACTGTCGCATGTAATTTAAGGACTTGAAGGGAGCAACAACCTGAGCTATGTAGGAGGAGACATGTTTAAGTCCAGTACTCCTTCTGCTGATGCTATTTTACTGTATACGGTCGAAACTGATTTCGACATTCGTACGATTGGTCGAGATGGGAACACAATGGACCGAAGAGAGTGTTCATAATATCGAGATGGGATCTGAAGAAACAAACGAGCTTCGAGTTTCATGGACAGGTCAAATACCGAGCTCAAAGTCATTATCGATTTCGAGTCCGAATCAAACTATGATGAGAAGCTATGGAATCGAGATTAAAGGGCCAGAGGCCAACCAACACCGACCTTGAGTCAGTACTGGTCCCCGAGTCAATATCGAGCTCTAACCCTGGAAACCGACCGATACCGAGTCCGATCATGATCGAGCCAAGAGACAATAGCCGTTACAACCGCACTAAGAGAGGGAATCTCGACGGAAACTAGGAAAAAACTGATTTATCATGGGCTCTCCACTATCTATTTTTAATTATATCCAAAATAGGATCCCTCCACTATAAGAGGGATGGCCATTATTCTTGTAAGCGGGATCAAGTCATTCATAAACTGTAACAAAAATACTGTTGATACATCCCTATATTGGAAGATTATCCCTTTGAGTTTCATACATCATTTTATTTTGCTTGTTCATAAATCATCTCTTTTCAACTTTGCTTATTTTTTATACTTTACAGTTAATATTTAATATTTCTACTTCTCTTTACGATTCATGTCAAGTTATACTACATACCCTTAGAACTATGTACAAATTCAATTCATCCGTTTTTCGGGTAAACAGTTTGGCGCCCACCGTAGGGCTAAGGATAACAGTGGTTATTTGACACAAAATCTGCAAAACACACCATTTTACAATTGTTGTTGAAAGTGTTTGATTTCGGATTAGCAACAACGAACTCTCAATTAATGGCCTTACCTGTCGACAACGAAGCGACCTTCAAGGTGAGAACAACAACTTAACGCCCAGGGCCGAAAGGCCGCTTGTTGATGCCGTTGGGGCCCGAGTCGAAGTACCATTAGACGTTAATTCGCATGTGGCTATTGAGGCAAACCAACGTTCTGAAGCTGAAAATAGCATTCATGGTGGTACTCGATCTGCAGCTCGAGACACCCATAACGTTGAGGAAAACAGAATCAGCTTGCGTATGATTTTTGAAACGTTGAAAGTTCAACAGGTAGCGATAGCTCAGTTGCAGAGTCAAACCCAGGTACCGAGCAGACCGGAGCCCAGTCCACCCCGAGAAATCACCCACAGAACTGAGCCAGCTATAGTAAGGTCAAATGAGCAAGAATCAGGGACTAATCCCGAAATTGCTAAGATACTCGAGGAACTCACAAAACGGATCGAAGCAAACGATAAAAAAGTGAAAACATATAACTCAAGGGTCGATCAGATCCTGGGGGCACCACCAGTGTTGAAAGGGTTGGATTCCAAAAAATTCGTGCAAAAGCATTTTCCCCCGAGTGCAGCTCCAAAATTGATCCCCGAAAAATTCCGCATGCCCGAGATTCCTAAATATAATGGGACGACCGACCCTAACGAACACGCCACCTCTTACACGTGTGCCATAAAGGGTAACGATTTAGAAGATGACGAAATCAAATCTGTGCTGTTGAAAAAATTCGGAGAGAACCTTTCGAAGGGAGCAATGATTTGGTATCACAACTTGCCACCAAATTTCATCGACTCATTCGCCATGTTAGCAGATTCTTTTATAAAGGCACACACAGGGGCCATAAAGGTCGCAACGAGGAAATCAGACCTTTTCAAGGTAAGACAAAGAGATAATGAAATGCTGAGGGAGTTCGTGTCCCGATTTCAAATAGAACGCATAGAATTGCCACCGGTCACAGATGATTGGGCCGTTCAATTTCACCAAGGGTTGAACAAGCGGAGTTCGATAGCATCACGTCAGTTGAAATAAAGTTTGATCGAGTATCCGGCCGTGACCAGGGCAGATGTGCACAATCGATACTAGTCGAAGATCTGGGTTGAGGACGACCAACTAAGAGCCCTCTCCGGTTCAGTACATCCAAACAGGTCGGTAGTTAAGAACCAGAGGAACATCGACAGGGAGCAAAGGTCGAACAGAGACCGATATCAACCATATACCGCAGATCGAAGGAACAATGGTTCAAGACGCAATTCCACCCGGAACAATCAAAGAAGTGATCGAGGACAGAGTTCTCGGGGACTTATGAGCAAAAGTGGCTTTGACAAGTATACTGATCCCACAAAGGCACCTCGGTTATCATAATATAACTTTAGCATCGATGCATCGGGCATTGTATCGACAATCGGAAGGATCAAAGATACTAGGTGGCCTAAACCCATACAAACCGATCCTCCCAAAGAAATCCAAATTTGATGTGCAAGTATCATGGCATGCATGGTCACAAGACCGAGGATTGCAGACAATTAAGGGAGGAGGTAGCCCGTCTATTCAACGAGGGCTACCTTCGAGAGCTCCTCAGCGATTGAGTCAAGAATCATTTCAGAGAAAGAGACGCCAACAGGAAAAATGAACAGGAGGAACCCCAACATGTCATTCATATGATTGTCGGT